ATGCTAACGATTGAGAGGGGAGGGGGGGAGGGATGGATGTAGTGACCACCCTGGATCCGCCTATGGAAAGACCCCTCAGGCGACTTTTGAAGAAGTGGTCCAAATACAGGCATTGGGAACTAGCTGATGCTATACGGACCAAGAAGAAACGCGGCATAACTGCAACGGCCTGTGAAGATGTTCGAACCTTGTTTCTTGTTGCACTTTCCCGTAACCACACTCCCACTTAATTTTTTAGACGATCCCGGTAAAAAAAAAAACACGAAAATAAAAAAATAAATACAGAGGAAGAAGCTTTTGCTCTCCTGCTTCACCAAAAGTACAGCGTTTAGCTTGTGATTCCAAACCATACACGGCAGACGGAACAACGAACGTTCACGAAAATTCACGAAATGTTAAAACGATAAACAATCACTGACCAAAAAATACTTCTGAAGATCAGCAGGCAATGTTTTGTCGATTACATGTGCTGTAATCGGTGTACAGCCACAAACGAAGCAAACAGTCATCACATCTGCAAACCGAACAACTATGTTCTATAATCGCAAAAAGGCACAAGCCCTCAGCCTACCGCAGAAGATTTTGTAAGCAACATATACCTTTCGCATTGGCTAGCTCGGAATATTTTTTCAGATCCGTTCAAGCATAAGTTCGTTTAAGTTTCAGGGAGTATGAAAGTCCTTATCGTAGAAACCCCGCAACAATGCCGGCAAAGAAAAGCCGCTACTAACAACTGATAGTGCCCAGAAGAGGTAGACAAGAAATAAAAGGATGTATTCTGCCTTAAACATAGGCGTGTCCAGGACGGACTCCTGGGGGAAGGGGGCAACAGGAGTGAGGGGAAAGACTCCTCCTGCCCTGGAACTGCGCAAAAACTAGGAGTAGAGTTGTAACTACTTAGAATTACTTTAGTTTTATTTATGAAAAGACCCGGGCTTTTGCAGCACTGATGCCTGTGCCGCTTTGCCCTTTCTCCCTTTTACTGTATATTTGCCTTTTAAGGCCATAGGCGAATCCAGAGGAGGCGGAGCCTATGGCCTTAAAAGGCAAATATACAGTAAAAGTGCTTCCGGCGTGAGCCTTGGGCAAAAAAGTTGGTGCAGTGGATAGCACGTTGCGTCCGAATGTGAAGAGAGCGATTCGACTTCTTCCTGGTCCATACTCATTTCAAAAGAGGGCTCCGTTTACCACAATCGCAATACATTCTAGGTCCGTACAAGTGTAATTCCCTGTACGTTACAGGTGAGATAGGCAAAATGTCCTTCGTAATCTCTCTGTCTCTCTTTCTTTCTCTCTCTGAGAAGGGAAGAAATTCGGAAGTATCACGAGGGTGGCAAGTGCCAGCAACAATCACCCAGTGTCATCTAGGCTGACGATGGCTTTCCCGTTCGAGGATTGCTCACAAGCATTTAACGGCTAGTTTTCATCAGAATCAGTTTTATCATCGAAATAAGTGGACGAATCGTGGAAGGGCAGGTTATCCGACTGGTCGGGTGCGGTCTTCGACAGCAGCTATTGGCGGATGCAGAGGCCGGGGGGAGGGGGAAGGTGGGCGAGGGATCTTTTGCCCCCTCCCTCTCCAGTAGTTCAGGTAGCAGCTGTTTTACTGTTGAAAACTCTGTTCGATACCGCCTGTCGCCTCTTCCCTCTCCCCTCCACAGGAGACCGCCCTGGATCTGCCTATGACAGCAGCGTGTTACTCTTCCCGCTGCATCATGCCGTAACGACTTAAATACAGAGGCGAATCTAGAGAGATCTCCTGGGAGGAGAGGGGATTCTTCTGCACCTCCTCCCTCCCCTCCCCCCCCCATGGATCCGCCAATGCTTAAGTATGTGCATGCAAAAAAAAAAGAAAAAAAAACCTGGCTTTCCGAAACATGCGTTGCAAAAGATGTGACCACAGCTGGTCAATTGGTAGTTGGCAATCTGGCAGCGTTGCTGAGGTCTCGCAAAACATTTGTTGCAGTGGAACCAGGGCTCCATATTATCGAAACGTTGCGATTTAAAAAAAAAAAGCACAAGAAATTGTTAACGAAGTACAAACGTGAGAAGAGCTGAACGTGTTGCTGG